AGTATGGACGGTAGGCTAACGTATAAATAAAGCTGCGTTTTCACATTTCTCCGGCTTAGTGTAGACGCTGTCTCAGTGGGAGTTCCTTGAACCAAGGGATCCTCTTTGGTAGAGAATTCTACGGACATCAAAGATGAGACATAACTTGGCTCCAACGACGTACATTCTTTGAAGTTATTATGAAAAAAATGTACAAGTTGATCACTTGCTTATATTTGTTATACAGGTCTTTGTTGTTTTAGGACATGAAAACACTCAGTTCCCCGTATTGAACATAATAAGAACAGACTTGAATTAAAATTAAGATTACACGTAAGAAAAAGCAAACTTAGTAGGTTAGAAATAGAAAACTGACTTAAAAATTGCAATTCAGTGCTACTGACGTATTTCCGAAATCAGTTGTGTTGCTATGTTTGAGTGTCAGCAAGGGAGATAATCCCTTGAATAGAAACTAATAAAACCATATTATCAAGATTCTATACGTTTAGCTAAAACGTTTTGTTACGAGTAGAAAACCGTCAAGGATATCAAAAACTTAGGATTTTTGGCTTGCGCAAAGAAACATTTCAAAACACATAATGAAAGTTCTAGTTGTTAAAACAGAAACGAACGAAGCTTGAGAACTTTTATAAATTAAAAATTTCCTCTCTCGTAAATAAAACACAAGACTTCGAACCAGGAATCCTGCCGCTCTTTCTGTTGTTATCCTAACTGCTTCAAAAAGTCTTAACTAAAACTTCCAAATCAAATTAACTTGGCTTCACAAGATTTCAAGCACTGGCTTCAAAAATTTGGGAGACAATTCCAGTTGAGATGAAATGGAGTCCTTTTTATCAAGTCAAAAACATGTATATACAAGCTTTTCACTTTGGCAGCCAGACGCTTTAATAATGCGGACAATTTCGCGGCATTAGTTTTTGAACGGCTTTGTTTACACTTCTCGTCTATTGTATTGCCTTCACTCTGGTAGTGGCCAGCTTGAAAAATTCTGCTCCTTTGGCCACTACACATTTAATTTCCTTCTCTTAGGGAAAACTTACAGTTATTTTCTTATTATGCTTCTTTCTTTCTTTGGTGTTTGGTGTACACTGAAAAAACATCTTAAAAAGACAATGTCATAGTTGAGCTTACTCTATTTTCATTAAGTTTTACCAAATACTCGCTATGAAACTTAAATGTTAGCGAAGAAATTACCCAAAAACTCGAAAATTTCTGCTGCTTTGGCCGCTACACACTTCCTTCTTGTTTCGAGAAACTTTACATTTGTTTTACTCTTCTGTTTTTTTTTATTTTTATTTTTTCTCTTCTCTGGTGTGAATGAAAAACATTTTAAAACGACTGTGTCACGGCTGAGTCTAGTCTATTTGATTAAGTTTTGGCAAATACTCGGTATGTAACTTAATGATAGCGAAGAAATTACTTCTGTGGATCAAAACGATGACAAAACCATGTGGTCTTCATTACAAACAAATATGTTTCCCGGGTGTTATTATTAAAGGCGACAAACAAACGAGATGAACTTTAATTCTATAATTCAGACAACTTAACAGTTTTTCATAAATTAATCCCATATTGAAATCCGTTTCAATCTTCTTTCAGTTTTGTCCATCAGTACCTTCCTGCTTTTTCATTCGTTGTGCTGTTATTGAATTGTTACCTCCCGTATTAAAGTAACTTGTTACATTTCACTCAATTTGCTGGCCATCTTTTTATGTCTAAATCTGGCTAAAATCCGTGGCACAGTTCTTTTGTGTATTTGACGAAAGGTATGAATAAGATGAACTTTGAGCTTAAAATGTCGTAATATTTCTAGAGATCCATTATGGTAAGAAGATTATTTGTCGACGTTAAACCGTGATTATACATCTTGAGCCACAGCTTGTCTCTCCTTCAGTTAACTGTATTGTTGCGTAAAATTCTAAAGTTAAAAATGATATTGGGCTCTTGAAAGCTATTTTCCTACTTCACTTATCCAAACAGGAAGCAAGACCAGGCCACTTGTTACACGTACTGTAACTCAGTACAACAATGCCATGCACTTCAATACCACTCTTACTATTCTACTTTTTACAAAAGACCGTTGACGTTTTCTTTTACACTTGAAGAAGCGTGACGTTGCTGATATGAAAATTGCTTTCAATTTCTAAAAGAAACTGAATAAGTGCAATTTTAAACGTTCACAACTTTCCACCACTTAGAAGAAAAAAAAACCATTTAATTTCCAAGACTCTGAATATCACTTGTCAATCATGTCGCCCGTGATCAAACTACAAATCAAGTGAAACGATCTATAAACAGCACATTTTTACAGCACTGTCGCCCCGATCACTCCAGCTTGTTCAAATTTGCAGGTTGCCGTTTTCGATTATGGCGTTCACCAACAACAGCTCGACAAACGGTACACAAGAATTTCAAGGGCGCGATAGTCAAAGTGGAAGTTGCTCGCTGTCCCCGGATGCTGAGGCTATCACGATAAGCCACGCTTCTATCTACAGTGTTCTTTTGCTTTCTTCTCTAATAGGAAACTCTCTCCTTATCTACTCGACTCTAAAATCGAATATCAAGATGAACCGTATTATAGCTAACATAGCTTTTTCAGATCTCTTGTTCTCCACAGTTCACTTTCCTCGTGAGATTGTCACTCAAATCCGCGGAGATTCGCCGACTTTTCTAGTCAGTGGGTGGATTGGATCACTCTTCTGTAAGATAGCCCCTTTCGTAACGGACTCCTCAGTTGCTGTGTCTACGTTCTCCCTGGTTTTGATCGCCGCTGATCGATTGGTGGCCATTGTATATCCAACAAGATTTCGTCTAATGACTGTCAAAACGCGACGGCTTCAGATCTCTTGTACTTGGATCTTAGCGATGGCGATTCACTCTCCATATTTCTATACTTTCCGTTTGGAAGCAACAAGCAACGGCGAAACCATCTGTAACTCGAATTGGGAACCGGCCTTCGATCACGAGTCAACGTCTCTGTGGTTCTATACTATGTTGCTAGTCACTGTACTGATTATACCTTTAGTAACAGTAGCCACACTGCAAACTATCGTCTTGGTCAAACTCAGAAGCGACGACATGGCGGCTTTCCGTACTTCCATCGCCAATCAGCGACAGGCACAAAGGAATAAAAAACTTGTGATAATGTCCGCTGTAATCGTCCTGGCGTTTGCTACTTGCTGGCTACCTTTTCTCGTTAATACGTTTCTTAGACTCTACTTCCCAGCTTCTATTCCAGACTGCAGTCTTGGCTCTGTAGCATTTCGTCAATTTGCTATGTTGTTCTCGTTTTGCCACGTCCTGGCCAATCCATGTGTTTGCTTCACGTTTATGCGCCGTCTTCGAGTGTTTCGAATACCTAAGAATACACTGAGGAAAAGCTCCACCTATGTGGAAACAAGATTATGACAATTTACCATCCCGTCATATCATCTCAACCCATCTCTTCCACCACGTCTACTTTCTTCGCGGAGGAACGGTGAAGGGGGGCGCGGGTGGGGGGGAAGGGAAACCCCGATATGAAAAGGAGAACAGAACAGCGGCTGTTAATTAACTTTATTCCGTGGTCTTCGCTCTCTAATAACGTTATGACAATAAACACAGAGAATATAGACACTGCTTGTTCCGATCCGTGAAACTGTCATGTATCTCAAATTTAATTGATTATAATTATTTCATACGCAGAAGATAACACCAAAACTTTATTTCGCAGAGACCGTAGATTGCAGTCAAGGCAGAATAGGGCTCAGAGTCAAGCTGAACTGTAGTTATAAATCATTCTTATGTAAAGGCTAGA